GCCACCCTCCAGAGGGCCATGGAAAACAGCTAAGATTTACTGACACCGGTTACGTAAGAGGCTCTGGGTTACATGCTTTGGTGATGCTATCATCTCGGCTAGTTCTGACCATCTCAGACTGCCCACTTTCACCTGGAAGTTTGGAGAACAGCGGTCTTCCGTACCCCCCACCCCCTGCCTCTGTGTTCCTGTGGGAGGAGAGGAGGCAGAAACTCGCCACTAACAGACTAGGGCCAGTCTGAACTGCAGGGAGGTGAAACACAATCCCCCTCTGGCCCAAGCCTACATCCTCGTGAGTCTTGGATGACTGGATCTTAGAACCGCAAAAACCCAGTGCCACCCTGTGCTGGACATACCTCCAGGTCTCCAAACTCCTGGCTAGAATTGCCACCTGGCACGGTGTTGCCTTGTATTGCACTGAAGAGCCATTCCTCACTGCGCAGCATGGGAAGTGGCCAGACCCTCCAGAGTCCCTGTATGCTCACCTGAGGCCATGGCCACCCACGCCTCCAGGTTCTCACCTTCTGCATCTGTCCGAAGCTTGCCCCCTGCCTTGGATTTGCGGGCACGCTGGGTGGGCTCTGGAAGTGGCTGGGCTTCCACGTCGTCCTCCCGGGGCGGGGACTGGGTCTCCAGCTCTGAAAGGAAGCCTTCGAGGAACTCCTCGATCTCGTCGTCGGTCAGCACCGTCTGTGGGCTCCCCCCGGGGCACAGCGCCAGCAGCGCCAGGAGGCCGCAGAGCAGAGGTGCGGTGCGCACCGCAGCCATGGCTTCGGGCACACGCGGGAGAGGGGTGGGCTCAAGCAGGGACTTGGGTGGCAGGGCGGTGCCCCGCGTGGGGGCGGGAAAGGGCGTGAGGGACCCTGAAGAGCAACGTGGGCGTCGAGGGATTCCAGAAAGGGGTAAGAGAGGGAGATTCAGGGAGGACAAGGGGCTCCGGGAGAGGTTCTGGAGGCGCTGGGTGCTCCTACCCCGCGTGGCTAGCTCTCACCCGGACCGCCCTCCAGAAGCTTGCCACGGCCTGGCCAGGGCGGGGGCTTCGGGTTTCCGGAGTGGGAGGAGGAGGAGTCGGCCTTGGACCGGGGGCTGCGGGGGAGGGAGGCGGAGCAGCATGGAGCCCTGACTACTAGCAGCGTCTGCGCCCAGCTCAGAGGGTCTATGTGCAGGGCGCCTGGAGGAAAGGAGGCCTGGGAGGAGAGAGAGCCGGGTAGAAGTTTTGGGGGAGAGGGTGTGCAGGGTCTAAGGAGGCCTATGCTCTCTATCTGTTGTGCCCTCTGCTTTAAGCCCCCAACTTACTAGGAGAGGGAGGGAGGCAGGGTAAAAGAGACTTAGGGCCCCAAGGGTATGGCAACCCACTCTCTTGAGGTTGGGTCTTCAAAGTCTTCAAAGTGTCACCTGCTGCTTGCAAGTGCAGATGTCACCTTCGTGGAGTTATCACCTACATCCCGGGTCTTTGGAGTCAACCCTTGCCACAACAGAAAAGATAGCCTTGTCGGGATTCACTTTTTCAAGGGGGGCTATGAAAAACTGCCCTGAGCAACTCAGCTATTGTCCTGGAGATAGGAGCCCCACTTTAGACCTCAGCTTTCAGGTCCCAACGTGGACCAATAGTTATTTCTTTCCTTTCTCTAACTGGAATCAGTTAAAACAACAACACATTGTATGTAATAGCTTCGGCTACTACACAGGCCCAGATGGGGGCCTAGAGCCTCAGAGCATCCCAGGATACATCAGTGGAAGTGCCAGGGTGTTTGACATTGGCTTCCAGATGGTAAATATTGTTTGGCCCCAATAGCCATTCCAGCTAAGCCCAGAACTGCCAGAGCATTTGCCGTTGAAGAATAAGGACATAAAAGTGGGCCTGTAGCCATAGGTCCAGTTCAGTGGCAGGTAGCTTTCAATCAAGGTGAGGAGGCACCCTGATAGAGCAGAATATAGGCCCTAGGATGATTGACATGGAGAAAAAGGAAAATGCATATCAGGACATCCCAGCACAACCCCTACCTCCCAGGGCCAGCCTGAACAAGTAGAGAACAAGGGAGACTTTCAGAGGCTGGCTCTGCACCCCGCTGCTCCCTGGGAGTAGGTGACAACAGGAAGTCCCCTTTCTGGCTCTCCTTAAGCAAGCAGTTATATACTACATCAAGAACTGGTCCCTGAGGCCTATCCCATCCCTGCCCTCCTAGCCATCTGGTTTCCACAAGTGACCTCAATGTCTGAAACTTACCGTGTGCATATTAAATGGATCATGTTATGTTGTGCCTAGCACACACGGTCAACAGTTGCATCCCAAAGGCTGTTGGCCCTCATCAGCTTTGTCCCCAACCCCCATCCCAGGACAACTCTCACAGCTGGGCCTCCACATAAGTGACTTCAGCCTGGTGGTAGTAACCAGGGTGAATGAAGCAAGTCTCACCCACTGTCTCCCTCTGACTCATTATGCTCCAAATCAGTTCTGGGAATTTGCTTCCATGTGCCTGGTCTAGTCCAATGTGTCATGCTGGGGAGGCCACAGGGTGCATGAGGGGCCATGGGATGTCACTTCCCTAGCTGGATAGTCTCTGCCAGAGAAAACAGAGCCATTTCAAAAATGGAAAACAAAAACCCAAGGTCTAGAGAGCCTTTTCTTCTACCTCGGTGAGTTACTGACAGGAATGTGAGCAGAAGTGCCTGTGAGAAGCTGGGCCCAGGAGGGCTGAGGGGCTGAGGCCTCCACACTGATAGTCCAGGAAGGTGAACAGGCTGCTGTTCCTGGCCTAAGGAGCCCATCATCAGGGAGTCCTTTTGACTTGGGCCTATAGCTCCTGAGCAGGGGGATAACCAGAAGTCAGAGCCTGTGAGGGAGCCCTCTACTTTGCTAAAGAGCACAACATCTAAGTCAAATGTTGAGTATAGCCAAGGCCAGCTGAAGAAGCAGGAGGCCAGTGGTTTCTTTTTCTTTTTTTTGGGGGGGGGGGTTGAGACAGGGTTTCTCTGTGGCTTTGGAGCCTATCCTGGCACTCTCTCTGGAGACCAGGCTGGCCTTGAACTCACAGAGATCCACCTGCCTCTGCCTCCTGAGTGCTGGGATTAAAGGTGTGTACCACCAACGCCCGGCTGGCCAGTGGTTTCAATGACTAGGAACACTCACTCAGAGGATCCAAGAGCACTCTTTGTCCATGCCAAGTGTTCTGGGGGCCCTGATAGACAGTTTGGTAACTCCTCTCCCCTCCTGACTCCAGCCTTCCATGTGAACCTAGCATGGTCTTCCCAAGGGACCACACAACAGAACTGCCTGAGAGAAGGATGGTGTCCCTCCCTCAGTGTTGCAGAGCTGGGAGATCAGAGCTGTTTGAGGGTGGAGGCCCCAGCCTCTGGTCCTTCAGTAGATCTGTGTAGTTTGCACCTCTGAGGCCTTGGAACAAGTATCCTGCCAAGAGAGCCACCTGCCAGAGGGAAGCCCTAGGAGAGGAACCAGGAGAGAGAGGCTAGGGTTAGGTCAAGGGCAAAGAAGGCTGATGCTCTGAGGTGTCATATAATATAAGTAAAGTTGTGACATGGAAAAGGCACAAAGATCTCTTTCCCCTTCACAGTATCAGATCTCCCCATGGAAGGATGGGTCCCCTCCCCCTTCTTATGAGAGACCTTGGGGTCAAGCTCTTGGGGTGGGGGGAAGAGATACACAAACATGGCAAGAACTCAAAGTTTTAGGGGACTGGAGAGATGGCTCAGCAGTTGAGCTGTTCTTCCAGAGGACCCAGGTTCAATTCCCAGCACCCACATGGCAGCTCACAGTTGCTCATAGCTCTGGTTCCAGGGGATCTGATACATCACACCAATGCACATAAGACAAAGTTAAATAAATTATTTTTTTAAAAAAGAAAAAGTAGCTGGGCGGTGGTGGTGCATGCCTTTAATCCCAGCACTTGGGAGGCAGAGGCAGGCGGATCTCTGTGGGTTTGAGACCAGCCTGGTCTACAAGAGCTAGTTCCAGGACAGCCAGCCTCCAAAGCCTCCAATGTTTCAGGTACCATTTAGGCATCCAGAAAATGCTGGAAGGACTTGGGATCACAAGGGTCAGACCTACTCCTGCTTACTGGTAACTCTGCCATCCTCTCAAAAAACCAAAAAAAAAAAAAAAAAAAAAAAGAAAGAAAGAAAGAAAGAAAGAAAGAAAAAGAAACAAAAAGGTTTTAATTAAATTGGATCTGATAGGCCTAGTCAGGTAGAGCGTTTAGAAGGTCAAAGCAGGAAGATAGCAGTTTTGAGGCCAGTCTGGATTCTGTAGTGAGACCCCACCTCAAAAATAAGTAAGGGCAGCCAGGCGTTGGTGGCGCACACCTTTAATCCCAGCACTCGGGAGACAGAGGCAGGAGGATCTCTGAGTTTGAGGCCAGCCTGGTCTCCAGAGCGAGTGCCAGGATAGGCTCCAAAGCTACACAGAGAAACCCTGTCTCGAAAAACAAAAAAACAAAACAAAACAAAACAAAAAAAAAAAAGTAAGGGCTGAAAAGATGGCTCATTGGTTAAGAGCACTTACTACTTTGGCAGAGGACACAAGTTCAATTCCCAGAACATCTAACTCTAGTTCTGGGAGATCTGATGCCCTCTTCTGGCCTCCATGGACATTGCAAGTCTGTGTACAAGGTACACAGACAAACACTAGTACACAGTTAAAAATGAGTAATTTTTTTAAAGCAAGGTCAAACTAGAACTCACTTCTTTTATTTTTTAGCTTTTATTTTTATTTTATGTGCACGATGTTTTGCCTGCATGTATGTGTGTGGATGCCAGATGCCCTGCAACTGGAGTTATAGACAGTTGTGAGCTGCCATGTGGGTGCTGGGAATTGAATCTGGGTCCTCTGGAAGAGCAGTCAGTGCTCCCAACTGCTGAGCCATCTCTCCAGCCCCAAAAATGAATATCTAAACATAACAAAGAAATGAGCTGGTCTGTGGTGATGCACACCTCTAGTCCCAGCACTTAGGAGGCAGAGGCAGGCAGATATCTAAGTTCAACGTCAGCCTGATCTACAGAGTGAGTTTCTGCACAGCCAGAGCTACACAGAGAAACCATGTCTCAAACAACCAAAATAATAAATAAATAAATAAATAAAATAACTGAGTTTAGTCAGTTAATGCTGATGATGGGTCAGAAGCAGGAGGAAGGGAACTAGAAAGGAACTGGAGATGGAAGGCATTTCCTGTTTCCTCAGATCTTAAGGAAGGTCTTTGTTTTTCTATGCTTCAGTGGGAAGGAGTGGCTTGACTCTGAGAGGAAGGGTCTGTCCCTTTGGACCAACCTAACATACAGGCAAAGTTCTGGTTAGCATATGTCATTGTTTCAGGTACCATTCAAGCATCCAGAAAATGCTGGAAGGACTTGGGATCACAAGGGTCAGACCTACTCCTGCTTACTGGTAACTCTGCCATCTCTTCTATATTCAGATCTGGTGTCCACAAGCTTCCTCGCTCATTCCCTAGGTCTGAGGAATGCTATGGCCTTCCAAGAAGTCCCCGAGTAATTCACAACATCTCTCTGAAGATGCTTCTCTCACCAATGCAGTGGGAGCCTTATACTGTGGCTCCCTCCAAGGGCACTGGGTGAGTCTAAAGGTCTTAGCTGAAATCCAGATAACACACTCTGGGTCCAGAAGTATACCTTACCTTCCCAGGTGTATAAAAGATGTCCCTGGCCATCTCAGTGGGATCATTTCTATAGGGAACTGATGAAATGTCACATCTCTGTGGCTGTACACATGCCTGGGCAAGACAATCATATCATTTAATTGACCACCCAATCCCTGTCTACCAGCCCAGTTGCCTTGAGATTCCAAGGCAATTTGTACACAACTCCATGTGTATCCTTGCCTATGAGTCTCTGGTTCACTCAACAGTATGTATGGAGTGAGCCAGCAAGATGGCTCAGTGAGTAAAAGCACTTGCCACTACGCCTGGAGATCAGAGTTCTATCCCTGGGACACACGTGGTGGAAGAACAGAACCAACTTCTGCAAGCTGGCCTGTAATCTTCACACGTGTGCAATGGCACCACCACCCCTTGCAATGAGTAAATGTCAGGAAACAAAAACAATAAAATGTATGGAGTTTTCAACAGGATGCTGGCTTGGGAATGACCCGAACTCCAACCACCAAAGATGTGCAACTCTCCTGTGGAAAGTTGAGGTAGAGAAGACTGAGTCTAGGAACTCAGCAACTGGGACCCTACACAGAAGGGCCCACAGGAGAAACCCCCAAGCTGCTTTGGGGGAGGGGAAAGGAATACTGACTGGCCTGACTCCACCTGTTAACCTCTCATGAAAGCTCAATTCCTGACCTGGTAGGGTCCTGAGGCAAAGCCTGCTGGGTAAGTCTGTTTCTCCATTTCTGAGTGAAGAAGCTATGGCCCAGGGAGAGGTGACTTGTTCCAGATGACAGCATCGGTGACAGAGAAAGTCCCAGGTAAGCAGCAGAACCCAGCTTCCAAAGACCACACACACACACACACACACAGAGAGAGAGAGAGAGAGAGAGAGAGAGAGAGAGAGAGAGAGAGAGAGAGAGAGAGAGAGAGAGAGAGAGAGAGAGAGAGAGAGAGAGAGAGAGAGAGAGAGAGAGAGAGAGAGAGAGAGAGAGAGAAAGAGAGAGAGAGAGAGAGAGAGCCAACAGGTCCCTGACAGCACCACCTCCTGGAAGCCCAGAAGCTCTTGAACACCATTCTGATGATGCTTGGTCCTGAACTTGATCAGGGATCAAAACCTATGTGCCAGAAGGCCCCATCAGCCTTGAGCCCTATTGGGGAGCTGTATATGGAGCAGGAGGCTGCAAGAACCTGGGAACTAGGCAACAGACAGACCTCCCCAACCTGAGCCCGAAGTCTATGAACTCTGTGGCAACAGCTCCAATATGGAAGGTCTGAAGAGAGTAAAGCCTTTTAAAAAAATTTCTCCCAAGTCTACTGGTTAACTCCACCATGCACATTTAGGGAAGACCAGTTTTGAAATGGAGGTCTAAGAAACCTGGCTTTTGCTACCAGGCCCCTGGGACCTCAGAGAGTGTCCCTCCTGGACACTGGGTCTTCCCAGGGACCAAAGGGAAAAGGACCAGCCTCTTCCCTGCCCTGGGAGAAGTCCCTAGAGACACCTCCTTCTTTGCAGCCCCTGTGCCTGGACTTTACCAGTGGGGTCCGGTGCTCAAGCCCACAAAGTGAGGTGGTTCCTTGCACTGTGGGAACCTGGGTCTTCCAGGCAGTGGCTGGCCATTCCAACAACTGGCAGAGCAATCCTCTCAGTTTCCAACAACTTGAAAACCACATGTGATTTTCCATAGTCCAGGCTCCCTGGGCCTGGCTGCTGAGCGAGCAGAGTTCGTGCTGAATTCCTTCCACTCACCGCAGGGCAGACAGTGGGCCCAGCTGTGGGGAGACTCTCTGGAATGGGGGGTCACCACATCCAGGCAGGGCAGGCCTCCAGCAATGATGAGTAATTCTGCAGCCTGCTGGTCTGTGAAGAGGACATGTGACAACTTAGTGTAACAATCAGCCAGTGTTAAGTAAGCCCTTCAAAATGGGATCCGTGGACAAAAAGTGTGTTTGCTGCCTTGGCACACCTTCATCAAAATTAATGAAATTAAGGTGTCAATATTTCTCACCCTGGACAGAAAACTTTATTGCATACAAGCTTTGGCCCTGTGTACAACAAAGGTAGCTGGGGATGAAATTTCAAAGGAAACAGAATACTGGGAAAAGAGCCTAAATGTCCTTAGCCTCCTGTAGTTTGAAGGACCACTGGTGGCCTCAGACCAACCTGCTAGGAAGTCAAACCCTGCAACATTGTACTCTTTTTGTTTGTTTGGGACAGGCTAGCCTAGAACTTATGATCTTCCAGCCTCAGCCTCCTGAATGCAGAGATTTTAGATGAGCTTATGACTCTCTTTGAGTCTCAGTTTCTCTCTTCTCTGAAATGGGACAAAATAACACAATTAAATCTCTATAACATGCTTCAAGGTTTTGTGTAGACACAGCTGCATACTTGGACCTGAAAAACTACTTTTTTTTTTACTTTTATGTATTTTTATTTAATATTATTAAATTTATTTAATTACTTATTTTGTATTTTACTTTTTTCCAGTTTTTTTTAAGAGACAGGGTTTCTCTGTATAGGCCTGGCTGTCCTGGAACTCACTTTGTAGACCAGGCTGGCCTCGAACTCACAGAGATCTGCCTGCCTCTGCCTCCCCAGTGCTGGGATTAAAGGCTTGTGCCACCACAGCTTGGTAATGGAAGCTGCATTTTTTATGTTAATTTGATTTATTTCCCTTTTAAATATCTAGTTTATTGAGAGAGCATTCACTCAACATGCATGAGGCCCCTGGGTTCTAGTCCTACCACTAAGAAAACAAAAACAAAAATCTCAGAGAATAGCAGGGCAGTGGTGGTACACGCCTTCAATCCCAGCACTCGGGAGGCAGAGGCAGGCGGATCTCTATAAATTTGAGGCCAGCCTGGTCTACAGAGCAAGTTCCAGGACAGGCTCCAAAACAATACAGAGAAACCCTGTCTCGAAAAACCAAACCAAACCAAACAAAACAACAACAAAAAAACCCAAAAAATAATAGTCTGCTAAAAGGGCTGGAGAAATGAGTCAGAGGTTAAGAACACTGGCTGCTCTTTCAGAGAACATGGGTTCCATTCCCAGCACTCACATGGTAGTTCATAGCTATCTTAACTCCAGTCCAGGGGCTACAATGCTGTTTTCTGACCTCCATGAACATTAGGCATGCATGTAGTACACAGACATAAATGCAGCCAAAACATCCATATAGAAAAGAAAATAGAATAAAATACATTTTTTAGAGTGAGCTAAGAGATATAAACAGACAATTCAGAAAAGAAACATAGGCAGCCACCAAATGTTTGACCTCACCAAAGGTTATAAAATCCAAACCGCAGGGCGGTGGTGGCACATGCCTTTTTTTTTTTTTTTGGTTTTTCGAGACAGGGTTTCTCTGTGTAGCTTTGGAGCCTATCCTGGCACTCGCTCTGGAGACCAGGCTGGCCTTGAACTTGCAGAAATCCTCCTGGCTCTGCCTCCCGAGTGCTGGGATTAAAGGCATGCGCCACCAACACCCGGCTCTTGGCACTTGCCTTTAATCCCACTCAGGAGGCAGAAGCAGGCGGATCTCTGTGAGTTCCAGGCCAACCTGGTCTACAAAGTGAGTTCCAGGGCAGGCTCCAAAAAGCTACACAAAAGAAACCCTGTCTCGGGCTGGAGAGATGGCTCAGAGGTTAAGAGCACTGACTGCTCTTCTAGAGGTCCTGAGTTCAATTCCCAGCAACCACAGGTGGCTCACAACCATCTGTAATGGGATCTGGTGCCCTCTTTTGGTGTGCAGATATACATGGAAGCAGAATGTTGTATACATAATTAATAAATAAAATCTTAAAAAAAAGAAAAGAAACCCTGTCTCAAAAAACAAACAAACAAAAATATCCAAACTAAGGAGGCAAGAGAAATGGTTCTGTGCTTCAGAGCACTGACAGCTATTCCAGATGACCTGGGTTCTATATTCAGCACCCACATGGAAGCTCACAGTCATCTATAACTCAAGCCTCAGGGATCCAATACCCTCTTCTGGCTTCCAAGAAGGGCTCCTAAAGTTGTCTTCTGATCTGATCTCCACAGGTATGACATCACACACACACACACACACACACACACGCACACACGCACACACGCGCACGTGCACGCGCACACACACAATCTTTCCATGAAAGAAGTACTGGGTGGGGGAGCTGTCTAAACACTGATAACAGGATCACCTCAGGAGGCAGTCTTATTTAAGATCATTTGTCTGCAGAGAATAGAAGAATCCTGCAAGCAGCTTAACTCCAACAAGCACCCTGCTGTGATAACAAACAATGTTGTAGTAGCTAAAATATGAGGAAAATGCAATTCTTACTCTTGTAAACTAAATCTAGGCAAGGAGTTCTGAGTACAGCAATCTAATAACTATTAACAACTGTCAGATGCCCCAGCTCCTCCTACCTGCTCCTTTAGCCTGGACATATAATCTCTCTCACAGTACAAATCAATGCTTATAATCCAGCCATTTTCATGACATCCAAGCCTGTAGACATTTTCTTTAAGAACACTTTGTATAAAACCAAACTAGACTCCCTTAATATAGGTGACAATGGTGTACTGGGACGATATATGAGGCCACTGGCAGTGGGTCCAAGATCTAACTCTAATGCACAAACTGACTTAGTAGAGCCCATTCTATATGGAGAGATACTGTGCTCAGCCTTGACACAGGAAGGTGGAGTATAGAGAGGTGCCTTGGTCCTGCCTCAGTGAGATGATGGGACAGACTTAGCAGACTTCCTAGGGGAGGCCTTACTCTCTCTGAGGAGCGGATGGGGGGAGGAAGAGAGGAAGGAGTGGGAGGAGAGGAGGGAGGGGAGAGGGGGGGGGGGGGGGGGGGGGGGGGGGGGGGGGAGAGGGGGATTGAAAAAAAAAAAAAAAAAAAAAAAAAAAAAGAACACTTGCAGCCAGATGTGGTAGATGGCATCTATAGTCTCCTGGTAGATAGAGGCAAAAGAAGCAAGAGTTTGAGGATAGTCTGTACTACAGAGCAAAACCGTCTAGAACCCCCTGGCCCACCCCCCCCTCAAACCAGCCAACCAACCAGCAAACAACAAAAGCTTGTAACACTCTCTAGAAGCTACCAGAAAGTTCCACATTCATCCCATTGATTTCACTGTCCTTTAATCACACCTGCATCACAGGCCATGGGCAGCTAGCTACAAAGGGAGGTGGGAAGTACAGCTTTCTCCTGACACCCCAAGCTGTCACTAAAGTTGTTGACATCAACAGCCTCTGCTACACGTGGTATTCTTCTTGCTCTTGTGTCTAGTAAGATCCCTGAAATCTAAGGATTATGTGTGTGTGTGTGTGTGTGTGTGTCTGGATGAGGAGGGTGTGAGCTATAATCTCAGGAAGCAGGAGAAGTTAGAGGCATCAACAGTTGTGATGTGTATGAGTGTGCGAGCATGTCTCTCTGTGTGTTAGGAGATGAAGTACTCATATTCCTGCTGTTTGCAGACTCAGCCAGAAGCCCAGCCAAGGAAAACATGAAGTGGGCAGCCAGCTTGAGCCTGGGAGACACCCTGCAGGTACCCAGCCCAGCTCCCCAGCTCCTGCCAGCCTCAAGAGAGAGAATACTTGCCAGGACACTGAGGTGCCAGGGGTCTAATGCCAGGACCTATAGCTACCTAGTTGCCATCTCTAATGCTACCCCCACCCTCATCCCCCACCAAGAAGGAGTTGTTCACACACAAATGTCCATTTCCTCAGCCCCAAGCATCTTCCCTAGGCAGAGTTTGGGTTGCCCCAAGTTCCCAAGCATCTCCACTTTCTTCCTTTTGAGGTAAAGGGTCCCAAAAGTATCATTTGGTCTGTCCTTTATTTATTTTTTCCTCTTTTTCTTTCAGTTCTGAGGGTCAAACCCAGGACCTGGCACACACTAGGCAAACACTTTGCCCAACTTTTCATAAGTCCCTATTGTTTTGTCTGTCTCCTCCCTGTGGGAGCACTCCTGCTGCAGAGATGAATACCCACCTTCACCTCAGACAGCTCTTGTTCTCCCTATCTAGCCTGGACTTCATTCTGACTTCCCATCAGGTCCAATTGCCCTCTCCCTTGGCATCATCTGGGTTATTATTCCAGCATCCACTGTCTCCCTGGTCCCATTATCTCCCATTGATCTGGGAGTTTGGTGTCTGTGCATCATGGCTGACTCACTTGCTGTCCCATGTCTCCATCCATCCCCATGTACCACCCTCAGGCCATTGCAAAGACTTGAGGGCCTCCACACAGTGGAGGAAGGCCTACTCTAATGGCCTGTGAAACAACCCTGTCCTGTATCTTGTCCCTTCCCTTTAGCTCTGGAGTGTGTCTGAAACCTCAAGGACCTTGAAACCTTGCCTGCTCTGATGAATCACCTACTCACAATCCTCTAGACAATCCCCTTTCTGCAGGATGAGAAAATAAGATTTGATTACCCACTGTGGTGGCTTGAATGCAATTGAATCCCCATAATCCCCAAAGGAGTGGCACTATTAGGAGGTGTGGCTTTGTTGGAGTGAGTATGGTCTTGTTGGAGAAGTATGTCACTGTGGGGGTGGGCTTTGAGGTTGTTTTGCTCAAGACATCACCCAGTGTCTGAGATTATTTCCTATTGCCTTCTGATCAAGATGGAGCCAGCACCATGTCTGCCTGCACGCTGCCATAATCCCTGCAATGATGATAACGGACTGAACCTCTGAAACTGTAAGCCTCCCCAATTAAATGCTTTCTTTTATAAGAGTTGCTGTGGTCATGGTGTCTCTTCACAGCAATAGAAACCCCAAGACACCCTCCATGTGGGAGAACTGTCCCTGAGGTTTCTCTTCAGCAGAGGAGACAATGGCTATATAGCCTGACACTGGAGGCCAACACAGATGCCCTGGAAGGAAGGCTGAGTGGAGCCTACAGAGAAGGGCTGGTGTGTCTGGAGACTCAGGTCAGAGAACCTTGGGGGAGGGGGCAAAGGAGGGGAGCTGAGCTGGATCCTCACCAAGTTGGGATAAAAGTCACCGGAATGGCCTGCACAGAGCAGAGGGATGGGGACAGTGCAGACCCACTGTACAACCACAAGAAATGGCTAAAGCTTGGAAGCAGTAGGTGGGAATCCCAGAAAGAGAGGGGAAGGGAGAGGTGCCTCACCCCCAATGTAGACGGCTCCTAGACAGCTGACACACTGCAAAATGCTGTCGAGACAGGGGGAGCAGACTCCTGTTGGTGGGAGGAGGCAATGAGTCAACCCCAGCCAGAGTGAAGGAGGAATTCATGTATGGCAGGTGAGCGCATTGCCTGACCCCCTCTTCAGATGCCCCTTTCCTAAAATGGGTTCATGCCTAGGGGTACTGAAATGCCACTGGTGTCCTCACCCCGTATGGTTCTGGATACCAGTTCCACTGGGACCTTGGGTGATCCTCCCTACCCCCCTGTAGGGCCTGGATCCCTGCCAGCCGTGTTCAGAGAATGACTATGGTCATGGGCTCAGGGCTTCCCTGATGGGGAGCAGGGATGGGGACAGGGAGCCTCTAGTGTTTGATTCCCTCTCCCCTATCAAAATGTGAGTGACATACAGTGTATCTCTGTCTCGGGTGGGAGTCTCGGGCTCAGCATCTCCACCTTACAGAAGCCCTCTACACCCTTCTGGGTCTGTGCTGGCTATGGCTCTGCAGGAGACAGTTCTTTCAAAAGACTTCAGTTGCGTAAGTACTGTGCTCTCATTCTGGAAAAATTAGAAAACATGTCAGGCCAAATAACAAAACTATCGATAAGTGTTATCAAAGTACAGGCTACCCCTCCCCTGCCAGAGAGAACAACTACATTCCTCCAGTGTTTAGTCCTAGAGACACTCGAGGGGGGCACAAGCAGTGGGGTTCACGTCCCATCACAGCTTGCCCTCTCTGTCTACAAGCCCTCCCTGGCAAGATTCGGGCATTGATTTCACTCCCACTGACAGGACATTAAAGAGTTGACATGTGCGGCGTGCTTAGAGCAGTCTGGCAGGGAGCACTAGCCAGGCTGACCTCATCATGTAGATGTGCACACCCTCAGAAACATATTATTGTGGAAACTTCAGTCATCTGCACAGGCTGCCTGCCCTGGTGCCTGCTCCTGCAATGGAACTCATGGCCCACCTGCTCCGTTATGCTTCACTCTCTCCTCCTGAAGGCATCATGTGATCCCACCAGGGAGGAAACGCACTCTCTCCCCTTCTCTTTCCATCTATTAGCACTCTTGAAAACACAATCACAGTTCATTAATATCCACTATTCAGTCAGAGCACAAAAGTCCCAAAGTGCTCCGTTCATTTCTCATTTAGAGTTTATTTGAATCACGATTACCTCCTTGGGCTCCCCTCATCTTTCTTTTTTTTTCTTGAACATTTAACTACATCTAGGTTGCTTCTCCAGAAGTTTCCCAGGGTCTGGATCTTGCTAACTTCTTTCCACGCCAAACCTCTGAAACAAATGCTATTTGTTGTGTATGTGAATTCAGCCCAAAATTTCAGAATGCCTAAAACTCAATTTGACTTTTTCCTGCGAGGCTTCATACTGATTTTAGCACCCCACGCTGTTGCAGTCTTGCAAGGATGCCTTTGTCCCTTTTCCCTAGCCTCCAAGGTACCAGAAGACAAAGTCAAGCTAAAGAATTTGGTCCTTAGGTCACTGTGTCCAGAGGCATGGGCTCAGCCACCCAGATCTCACCTCAGTGCCACCGCGAAGTCACTGTGTCCAGAGGCATGGGCTCAACCATCCAGATCTCACCTCAGTGCCACCATGAGTAAGCAAGGGACGTCTGGCTGGAAAGTGTAATTCCTGTCTGTCCGTCTACAGTTTGCATTCCAGCTTCTGCAGGACTCTCAGGATTTTGTTTCCCGAATGAGAAAACTAGAGCTTAAACTGTCACTTACTTAAACAACAAGCAAAGTGGCACCTTCAAGTGGATGGAAGATGGAGGCCACTCTTCCAGAGGCAGCTTCTGGTCAGCTTCTGACCCCTTGCCCTCCAGCAGAACTTGGTGAAGCCTCAGGGAGGGGTTACAGTATAGTTTTCAGGCAGCCCCCCGACCCGGGCAGCTTTTCCCCATCCTCCTCCTTATGCTTGCTTCTGGGTATCTCCTTTGCATGTCCCTTCTCATCTCAGCGGGAAGCTGCATTCGGTTCTTTCACATCCTCTGTGCCTGTGCCCTCATTTGCAGGTGTCCTTGCCCCTGACAGTGCCCTCATTCATAGCTGTGCAGCTCACTGCTCCAAGGTGGTGACTCATGTAGCAAGGTGATACTCGCCCTCTTCCCTTGATGCCCCTATAGGTCTCCGTAACATCGCTTACACTCCACACTCAGCTTTCTGCTCTCAGGTGATTGGCAGTCCCAGCCTTACTGTCGCTGGAGCAGATCCTTGTCTGTCTCTCACAGCCAGAGGGGATCCATTCAGATCATAGTGTAGCCAGAAGCCTGCTTTCCTTGCCTGGGGAAGGGTAGTCATCTGTTGGAGGGGTCTCCCTGCCCCTACCCCTTCATGTTAAAGCTAACAAGGTGAGCCTCTGCTTGAAACCTTCCCTGCAGAGTGAAAGCCAAAGACCCTTGAGTGACCAACAGGGCCACCTGACCTGTTGCTCTGCTCCAGCTGCATGGGTACTTCCTTTCTTGAACATGCAGAGCACAGCCTCACCTTGCTAGTTCCCTGCCAAGAACAGGCCTGCTTGCCTGTGTGAACACTGCTCAACCTTCATCTTCTGACCCTGGGCATGCATTCTCCCTGGTTTTCAAGTTTACAATGGTGTGAAAGCAACTATGTTCAGTAGAAATTACACTTTGGATTTGTATCTTTTCCCAGACAAGTCATGTGCAGTACTTGATGAAAGCAATGATTATTGTTCTTTGCTGCAGCTGTGGGCAATGAAACACGAACCACAAAACTCAACAAAAGCCACGTGGAGTTTAATGGGGAAAAGGAGCAAAGGGAGGGGTAGGTGTTGGCCAACCGGCAACAAAGATGGAAGGGGGACGAAGGGACAAACAGGTGGGAGGCATTCACTTGAAAGGGAAAGCTTGCACATGCGTACAGAGTCCTTACACAGCCACGTAACACATGACATAGCCACACAACACAGGGCCCTCTGAGTTGTCTAAGTATCTGCCTGAATGACAGTGTGCGTATCCTGCCCATTGTCAAGGGGTGGGGTCAGCATAATGCCTGAATCCTTATAATGATGACCACTCGATCAGGAAGTGAAATAGCCACTGACCTCCAGTGTGCTGTACCACTCAGCTTTGGTGCTCTGTAGGACTGGGGTATCAAATCATTCTCCACCTGTAGGATTTCCAAGTTGCCACGGCTTATGGTGCATAGGCCCACCACAGGTCAAGGAACCTCAACAATCAATTCAACATATTCAAAAAGAAAAAATACAAGTCATTAGCATGGTATGTAGCTGCCTCCAAGCCTCCCACTCATGTAACAGTTGTTACTTCCCACCCTATCCTACCACTCAGCTTCAACAAGGACTCCAGGGGCTTTCCACAAGCCTTCCCGGCTACTGCATCCCCTTTTCCCTTGCCAGTAGCTTGATGCTACTCAGGGATTGCTTGTTGACTCCCTGTCCAGCCTCTCAGGACTTTCTGATTATCTACACCGTAAGTCAGAAACCAGGAAAAAACGGCAAGATTTTCTAACTCCATGTCAGTAAAGCAGGGCCTCCCTCCCCAGTATTTGTATCTGTGTTTTATTTCAATAGTAATCACAGTAAATGAGAAAATGACAAAAAAAAATGTAATCGTGTTAGCTCCTGCAGTAGGGTGAATGGAATCATCTTTGGATTTTCTTTGAGACAGTCTCACTGTGCAGCCTTGGCTACACTGGAACTCTCTATATAGACCCAGTAGTTCTCAAACTCACAGAGATACACCTGCCTCTGCCTCCTGAGTGTCAGGATTAAAGACATCTGCCATCACACCCGGCCACCTTTGGATTTTTAACTTGCAGTGGAACTGGGTCTGCAAGCACCCCTTGTCTTAATCTCCTTCTGGGCCCCCAAGTCACTCCCTCAATGCCAGTTATGCCTCAGTTGGTTAGACAAATAACCCCAGTGAGCCTTCATTTGAAGGATAATCCCTTGGCTACAGTCTTCTGTCCAAGTCCCGAGGCAGAAAGGGGTCCTGGGGCGCCAGTGTTTCTTGATTTCTCCCTACCCTGTATATTCCAATGGGGTCCCTTCCTGGACCTCCAATTCCCACTGGTTCTTGTGGGTGGTGCCTGACCAGAAGTGGAGACACAAACCTTCTTAAAAAGGCAGCAAATGTTTCTCAAAAATAAAGTCTCTATATTTGTTACCTAATCAGCAAGATCCTGGCAAGCCCCAGCTCCAGCCCCAGTACTAGTGCACTGAATGCCAAAATTCCAAATCTAAGCCAGACATGGTGGCACACACCCATAATCCCAGCAATGAGGAAGCTGAGGCAGGGGTATTGGAAATCTGAGTCAGTCTGGGCTAAATAGTGAGACCTGTCTCAAAAAATAAAATTACACAAATCTTGAGGTTCTGACAGGTCTACAAAGGTGATAAAGCTAGACCCAGGTAGCAGATTTAAGAGTAACCCTCCCCCCCCCCCCCCCCCACCCACACACACACTCAAATCCATGTCCTTCCAGACCATCTTTGGAATAAGAGTTCTTTGTTGATATAATTAGGATAAGAACATTGAGATGATGTCTTCCTAAATTAGTGATGTCTCTTAACCAGTGCCACTTTATGGAAAGAAGAGGACACACAATCAGAAGAGCCCAGAAGGTGACAGCAGAGACCAGTACAGCCACCACTGCAGGGACCTCAGTTGCAGACTTCGGGAATGTGACCCTGCTGACACCTGGGTTTTGTTTTTGTTTTATTTTGTTTTTTACTTCTGGACTTGAGAATTAGGAGAGAGAATGTTTCTATTGGTTCAAGCTGCCCAACTTGTGACAATTTGTTATAGCAGTCATGGGACAGCCACATCAGAGATTAATGACTACAGTGTGCCAAAGCACTTGAAGGTCCAGGCCAGTGTTCACGAAGAACAAAAAATCCCCAGGGGCCCCGGTCCAGCAGCATTAGGAGTTTAACCACAAGATTTCCATGGGCTGCTGGCAAAGGGATCAAGACAGGAGTGGCAAGTGCTAGAACAGAGCTGACTGCCGGCCCCTCAGGTCTCAAACAAACAAGTAACACAACACACAGGTGTAAAAGATTCCAAAGTGAACCTGAAGACAGGTGCTGGTGTGGCAATGAAGGGCAGAGATGTGGTGAGAGCTGTGCAGCACGGTAAAGGTTGTGAGGACTGAGAGGTTGTGAGCACCCGCGCACGCACGCGCACACACACACACACACACACACACACACACACACACACACTGCCAAGGTCTTCTGGAGCTAGAGGTTGGAGCAGGATATTCATCTTGGAAAAACACAAGTTCATACATCTGGGCAAAAGTAGTCCAAACATGAGTTTGTGACAGTAAGGACTAGCTAGAGAGGGTGGGGGAGGGACAACAAGCCTGGGGCAGCTGAAGAGCCCTACTGTGCAGGCTCTCTGACTCTGTAGGGGTCTCAGAGAGAGGAATAAATGGGAGGCTTGAGACTTAGATGGGAACCCCTGTACTAACTTTACTGGAACAGACCATCAAAACCAGTCAGATATCACTGTTTCCAAAGAGGCACAAGAGCAGCCTGGGGGTTCAGAAAAAGGAAGGCCCAAAACTCTCCACACCCATGTCAGGTCTCTGCCCTTCTCTGCCACTGCTCTCAGTTACAGAACCTCTATGGGCCGTGTTCCCGAGGTATATATGTAGGCAGAGGGAGATTACACAGCATGGTTCTTTCCACTTAGGGTTAACGCTCTCTAGACTCATCTAAGCTATTGTACCACACATCCCTTTTATCTTAAGGCCACCCAGTATTGGATATAGACAGAGGAGGTGACATGCCTCACTAGTGTTCATCCCTAAGGTAGGCCTTCCCCTTCTCATACTCACTCTTCACCACCTTCCTACAGTGGAACTGTGTGTGATGATTACGTCAATTCAGGAATGAAACCTAATGACATTTCCATATATGAATCTTTTTAAAATTTTATTTGTGTGTGTGTGTGTGTGTGTGTGTGTGTGTGTGTGTGTGTGTGTGTGTGTGCTCTCGCGCATGCTTTGTCTGTTATGATAAATTCAGAGGGGAACCTTGGCAGATTCCATGGAAGGTGAGGATGACCGAGGGTGGAGGGACAACATCTCAGGTAGACAGCTTAAGTGAGAAGTTTTATTAGAAAGGGGAAGGAAAGAGAAAAGAGGTAAAGAGACACAGAGAAGACAGAAGAGGGAGACAGGAAAAGCCCTGTGTGCTCCAGAGGAACATCGGGAAAGAGAGAGCAGAAAGAAAGGAGTAAGTGGATGGGGTCTTTCTTTTAAAGGAGTCCTTTGTACCTGCGGCAGGCTACTTAGCCATGGAACCCTGGGCTAACCAGGGTACTGCCTGAGTGCATTCTGCCAGGCGACAGGGGCAGGCCAGCATAATGCCTGAGTCCTTACACTGTCTCCACATATGCCTGCAGGCCAGAAGAGGGCACCAGATCTCATTACAGATGCTTGTGAACCTCCATGGGGTTGCTGGGAATTGAAGTTAGGACTGCTTGAAGAACAGCCAATGCTCTTAACTACTGAGCCATCTCTGCCTGAGTGCATTCTGCCAGGCGACAGGGGCAGGCCAGCATAATGCCTGAGTCCTTACACTGTCTCCACATATGCCTGCAGGCCAGAAGAGGGCACCAGATCTCATTACAGATGCTTGTGAACCTCCATGGGGTTGCTGGGAATTGAAGTTAGGACTGCTTGAAGAACAGCCAATGCTCCTCCCCCCCCCCCCCCCCCCCCCAGCCCCTCATAGATACATCTTAAGTCTCCATTCTGTGGAGTCTTTACTACAGTTCAAGGACTACTCTCCAAGAAAGGCAACTCCATTTAAGCACATCTCAATCATACTGGGTCCAAGACCTACCCCATAACTCCGAATCCTACTGCTAGCCCTCCTGCCAAAGCTACTTCTAGTACCTGGGTAGTCTCAAACCAGCATTCCAGGAGAGATCTCTTCCCTTCTCCACCTGTCCTAGAGGATTACAAACCTGTTCTTTAGTCTGCTCTGGAACTCAAATAGGCACACAAATATGTATAGCACACTCAGTATTCACATCCCACAGCTTGCTCAAACTACTCTTGAACTGGAAACCCTACACTCTCAGCTTGAAGTGCTGAAAGTACAGAGGCATGCCACCTTGCCAGGCCAAATTTTAAATTCATATATGGTTCCACTTGCCATTCTTTCCCTACAGCATTACCAAGTTGGTTGTGCTACTTAGATCACAAAAATATCCCAGTGGGGCTGGAAAGATGGCTCAGTGGTTAAGATCACTTGCTGGTCTTGCAGAGGACCTGGGTTCGGTTCCCAACAATCCTTAACTCCATCTGGCACTTTCTTCAAATCCCCACCAGCACCAGGTGTTGCTCCCAAAGATGAGAAAGACCACTGACCAAATCATCATGGCCAAATTAATTAAAGCAAGCATTTTTATTCGTGAACACAGGCTGCCTCCCTCTTAAAGTGAGGTTCTAGAGGTCAGCATCAGATGTGAGGAAGACAAGGCTTTTATAGCTCATGAGTAGGGGATTCCCAAAAGGGGGATTTGACAGGTAAAATAGGTAGGCTTATAGGAGCAGAACATAACAGGTGGTCAAAACAAGATCATCACAAAAGGTAGTCATATAACCTTTTGAAACAAAGGTAGGGTTGTAAGATGGTTATAAACAACTTTGTGAAACAAAGGCATCATTGCTATTCCTGGAGCAGGCAATACAGAATTTGTGGTTAAGGTTACAAGTGGGACATAACTCAATCCTGAGAAATGGAGGTTTAATCATAAACGGGAATGGACCTTGTTTTTTTTTTTTTTTCTATAAGATATATGGCTTTTAAGCCTAAGATTGAGGAAAGCTGGTTCTTTACAGGCATATACGTGGTAAACATACATACGTTCAGGCAAAACAGCCAAGCACATAAATCTTTTCTTAAAAAAAATGTTAAGGGACCAGATAAACGGCTTAGCGGTTAAGAAACACTTGTTGCTCTTGCAGAAGACCCAAGTTAGGTTCCCAGCATTCATGGGGAATTCATGGAAAAGAAAAAAAGATCGAGTTTCTGCCAGTACAGTTTTGGTTTCTTTTCAGATTTAAACGTTTGAGCCTTCTGGGATTTACTTGATGTTAAGCAGTAAGGGAGGGGGCAGTTTCTGTTTTTCCAAATAGAGGTCCAGCTGTCTCAGTGCCGTTAGATTGTAAAATTTTTCGCACTCCAGCAGCTTATTAGCAGACTACGTATCTGCTCTTCTTTGCATACTCAGGGGATGCCGCGCAGGCGCCGCGTCATCAGCAGAGGCAGCTGGTCCAGGATAAACCGAGCACCGCCTTTGGGGGATGGGGGTGTATAGGAGAGGGTGGGCGAAGACCCGGCTCCCGCGGGAAGAACAAGGCCCGCCCAGTCGAAGGCGAAGCCCCGCCCACGGACCCAGGCCCTCTCCTCTAAGGTCTGCGGAGCCAAGGGTGCTTTCCCAGACAGTAAGTCAAACAGCAGACGAGTCGTTATTTGCATAGAGGTGGGGCCTCAGAAGAGAGACCAAACCTTCCCAGAGCGCGCCTCATTTTCATAGAGTCCTTCACCCACCCACCCCCCGCAGGGGAGCAGATAGCGCTTCCTCTCACTGCAAACTTCCTCGCTGATCTTCCGCCTTCCTCTGCGGCCTTCCGTGTCTCCGGAGTTCCGAATCCAGATGCTTCCCAAGCGGCGGCGAGTGCGGGCTGAGTCCCCACGCCGCGCTGTTGCTTCCTCCGCGCCGGCGCGCTTCCCGGGGGTGTCCATCTACCTGGCCGAGCCGCGCATGGGCCGCAGCCGCCGGGCCTTCCTCACAAGCCTGGCGCGATCCAAAGGCTTCCGCATCCTAGATACCTACAGGTGTGCGGCTCCTGCGAGGGCCCGGTGTTGGTGGGATGCCAGCCTTGCGGGGGGCTGGTCTAAGCCGGTCACCCCAGTGTGTGGACCCACCGTGGTGCAGGGATGGAGATGGTTCTAAACACCTGCGGCTTTGCGATCTAGGCCACCCCTAGCACTTCGCGGTTGCGGTACCTTCCTCCTACTCCAAGTTCCTCATTTTGAAAGGGTGCCATCAAGCCGGAAGCTTCTTAAAGAGCCATACAAGGAAAAGTAGTTAGTGAGCCATATTTGCTAGCTGCTCTCCCTTCCAGTGAGCCAGCGGTCCTAGGATGTCCTGAGTTCGCAGAATTCACCAACCAGCTCCTGTAGAGAGAGAACATGCCCAGGGCAATAGAGTAACTTTTCGATTGAGGATAATAAAGGAACTTGGAGCCTGTGCCCTCTGGCTGGCTAGCTTGTTTGCCCCCCACCCCCAATAATGAAACATTCCTAAAAGACTAGTGCACCGAACTCAGGAGTGGAGAAAACAAATTGGATTGCACAGGGCTCTACATTTTTACAAGATAGCTTTCTTTGGATTTCTCCAATGTAAAGGAAAAACAGACCACTGTGTTTACTGGGGCATGTAGCAAGAGTTTGCCTACTGGGGTTTGAACAAATAGACCAAGACTCTTGCATCTGGATTTAAATTTTAGCAGAGTGAGATGCCCGCTTGTAATCCTAGTGCAAGGGTACTAAAGTTCAGGCCAGCATGTCCTACACAGCAAGTCCCCAAACAACAGTTAACATTGAGATCAGAACCACCTGGCCCTGGCACCTGCCATACCCCAATCCCTGTGGCAGAGGGTGGCAGACAAATTAACAAGTCAAACTGGCTTGTGAGAGTGGCTGCACCAAAAACCAGGTGGAGGAGTGGAGAGGTGTTCATCCATCTAGGAGGGGCTACGAAGGCTTTCCAGAAGAAGGGGCGTTTGAAGAATGCAGGGCAGTCACCATGCAGAGGACACTGCAAAAGCAAAGGTTTGGGACAGGGGCCCTTGGTTTCATTCTCCTCCTCTTTTCCCAGCTCAGAGGTGACACACGTGGTGATGGAGCAGACTTCAGCCAAGGAGGCCATCTGCTGGCAGAAGGACATGGGCGCTCATCTCCCAGGCTGCCCCCAGCCCATTCTGCTGGACATCAGCTGGTTTACAGAGAGCATGGCAGCTGGGCAGCCTGTCCCTGAGGAGGTCCGGCACCGCCTGGAGGTGAGCTAGTGAAGGACTAACTCGTCTGGGACAGATGGCACACTAGCAGTGCCTCGGTGTCCTTGGGGGGGGGGGGTAAGGGTTCTCCCAAGACTGCAGAGGGCCCTGGGAAACCAATAGAGGGCTCAGCAGGGATTTGGGGGCTAGACCATCCCACCTCTGTTCTAACCATTTGGCACCTACTTACTTCTAGTATATTTAGGTATTTCTTCCTTAGTACTTGGGATGAACTGAGTTGGCAGGGGCCTGTCCTTGAGATGCTCTGGAGCCAGACTGCTAGGAGACAGGAGGCAAGCTCCCTCCCTTCTGAGACCTCAGTCCCCAGCCCACATATATAGAGTTGAGGGGTAGAGTACATGCCAGTCCTGCAGCTTCATGATGACCTGTGCCTTATCCTTTTGCAGGTAGCTGAACCCAAGAAGGAGCCCCAAAGCTCAGTGACGATGCCAACTTACGCCTGTCAGCGTCCCACAGCACTCACACACCACAATGTTATCCTCTCAGTAAGCTGCATCTATGAGCAGATGCCTGCCCCAGAGAGAAGGGACATGGGTATAGCAGGTTGGTAGCTAAAAGTTTGAGGCAAGGTCTCATGTCCACCTTGTACCTTAACCAAGGGCCCTCCCCGCAGGAGGCTCTGGAGACACTGGCAGAGGCTGCAGGTTTTGAAGGCAACGAGGGCCGCCTTCTCTCCTTCTACAGAGCAGCCTCGGTGCTCAAGTCCCTGCCCTGCCCTGTGACATCCCTGAGTCAGCTGCAGGGGCTGCCCCACTTTGGAGAACATTCCTCTAGAGTAATCCAGGTATGTGCTTGTCATACTGAGTGGGGTGAGTGTGTGCAGTAGGGAGTCCTGGGCCTGGTAGAACAGCAGAAGATTTGGTGGTTCATATCCCAGTCTGGAAGGATGGGCATGCACACAAATGCTGCTTCGAAGCCACAATAAACCATCATCAGCACAGATTCCTGGTCTGTGAGTTAGTTTGTTCCCCGTCCTAGTGTGGATGAGTAGATTCGGTGGTGGTTGCTACTGGCATTGGTGTCATTGTTAACAGTCCCAGGATATCTGGGGAGTATAAGAAAGCTCCCTGAAATGTTTTTTTAAGGACCCAATATTGAACCAGACTTTTGTATACTTTTCCTTCAAGAATCTATAGTATCAAAAGCTGCTTTTAGATGAAGCCATACATGTTCCTAAAGGTAAACATTGGTGTATCCTGGGACTCATATGAGGAGTGAGCCATACCACAGGCCCCATTGACTGTTATAACTCCAGCCCTGAAGAGCTCTGTGGCTAGAGCTATGGTCACTCCAGCTGTGCCTTGCAGTTTAGGTTACCTCCCTGGGTACAGTCTCCATTTCCAGTCCTGCTGGTCCCTGACACCACAGAGCCCCCCTGCAGAGTATGGAATGAACAGCCTCACCCTTGGGCTCAGAGTTTTGTTTCATTTCCTATCCCAGGAGCTGCTGGAGCATGGAGCATGTGAGGAGGTGGAACGAGTTCGCTGCTCAGAAAGGCATCAGACCATGAAGGTGTGCACTGGGGAAGGGAGCAGCTAGGACCCTGGCAGGTGTGCACAGTACATGCCGCAGCATAAGCAAGAAGCCAGCAAAGGCCTTTTCACCCAGCCCTGAGGTCATAGTAGGTCACTAAGAAATGGCAGCTGACCTGACATCTGATAGGCACTAGGCTGCCATGTGGAGAGCAGGCAGAGGCTGTTTTGAGCATAGGGAATTTTCTGTTTCACTCATTACCATCTGGTTTTTTGATGGAATATTCTCGTATGTATTAAAGAGCACACTGAACAAAATATGTGTGATGAGATGTGGAGGGGGCTGCCACCTTGCATTGCCCCATCTCTGTGGTCTCAGGTATCATACTTGGGGCCGTGGGTCTGCCTGTTTCTATGGGGCACTTGACTTGTGCCTAGTCACTGCTAACCTGATATGGAAGTCACCTGGGTGCTTTGCTTTTATCTGCTCTGACACCTTCTGCCTTTCCTTTTGTAGCTGGAGATTGTTAGGTCAGTGGCCTGAGATTTGTGGCCTCCTGGGAGGGTGAGGCTCATGGTATCTTGGGACGCTGCACAGAACACTGTCAAGAATATCAGGGAGGGCCTGGAAGAGAGTTCTCTAGCCAAGAGGCCTGGCTCTGGCCATTCCGGGAAGATAGGCAAGAGTCTGAGCTGAAGTGATATTGGTGTTGATGCAGGGAAGTGAATGGTTCCTCTATCAGTCTTAGTCCCAGCCCCTGTGAGGGTTTCCTGGGCAAAAGAGAAAGAGAAGCACTAGAAGATGTAAGAGGTGTCTCTTCTCCATTCTGCCTCGTGGGCAGCCCAAAGTCCTAGAAAATGTCCACACCAGCAGAAAATTTTATTAGTAATTAGAATTTTTTTTGGTTTGTTTTTTCCAGGATAGGGGCTTGATTAAGACTTTTTCATACTGAAACTGAGGCTGGCCCCAAACTCAAAGCAATCCTCCTGCCTCTGCTTCCCAAGTGCTGAGATTATATGCCCGAGGACCTCCCACTTGTAAAAATAAATAATGCAGTTTTTAGCTCAGTATTTTACTTTTTGTTTTGTTTTGTTTTTGTTTTCCAAGGCAAGGTTTCTCTGAGACCTTGGCTATTCTGGAGCTTGCTCTATAGACCAGGCTGGCCTTGAACTCACAGAGATCCACCTGCCTCTGAGTGCTGGGATTAAAGGTATATGACCACCACTTGGCAGTTTTAATTTTTAAAATTTTTGTTTATATATTTGGGGGAAGGCACGCACCATGGCACATGTGGAGGCTAGAGGTCAACTTGAAAGGGTTGGTTCCCTTTCTACTAGGTAGCGTCCAGGGATGGAACTCAAAACTTCAGGCTTGGCAGCAAGTGCCTTACCTGCTGAGTTTCACCAGCTGTCTGTCTGTCTGTCTTGAGACAGTTTTGCTTTGTAGTGCAGGCTGGCCTAAGTCTCCTAAGTGCTAGACTTTTTGTTTGTTTTGTCTTTGTTTTGGTGGGCTGAAACACACTCTGTAGGTGGACCATTTTCCTCCTGCCCTCATCCGCCAAATGCCAAGATACCAGAATGCACTGCCATATTCAAATCGTGCCAGATTATTTTTTGCAGGTTCATTCTTTACATTACATATATGTATGCACATGTAGGTGTGCGTATGTATATGTACACTTGAGTGAGGTGGGCAGAGGTGACAGATCTCCTGGAGATGTAGGCAGTTGTAGACTGCCAGGTCCTCTGGAAGAGTAGTACTTGATCTTTTTGGTTTGGGTTTTGTTTTCTTGAGACAGAATTTCTCTGTATAGCCCTGGCTGCCCTTGCTCTATAGATCAGGCTGACTTTGAACTCAGAGATCCATCTGCCTCTGCCTCCTGAGTGCTGGAATTAAAGGCGTGCACCACCACTGCCCAGCTAGTACCAGGTTTTGAAAGCAGGTTCTGTCCATTGCAATGACAGTGCTCTGTCTAATGCTGTGAGTTCAGAGAGTCTGGGAAAATAGGGCTGAGAAAAGCCCTGGAAGGGCAGGGCCAAGACTGCTCTTCTACAAGGCAGCTCCATTTTGTTTGTTTGTGATCAGCGTCTTGCTTATAATTAAAGGCTGTCCTAGAATTTGAGATCTTCTGCATCTGTCTCCCAGGTGCTGGGATGACAGGCATGCCTGGCCACAGCTGGCCTCCGCCCTCCTGACACAGATGGGTATCCTCCACTGTTAGGAGACATAGTCACAGAGGTTGGACCATGTATCCAACGTCTACTCCAGTGTGGGCTGTCCTTAGTCTCATTCTAAAATTCCTGGGGAGAGTTTCTCAGTGACTGGCACAGAGCAGGCAAAGGCTTAGTCCAGGCTTCCATGGACCATTTGGTATTTGAACCTTTGAAAGCAAAGTCTCCACACCTGCTGTGGTAGATACTAGTCAGGCCTCCCTTTGAAATCGCCCTCTTTGTTCACTCCTCCTTAGTTTTGCTGTTGAAGGGAACACATAGTGAGTCCCAGCTGTCATAAGTGGAGGCAGTTTCCCAGTGAAGTAAAAACCTAGTAAGCCTATGTCAGGATAACTCTTTGGGTCTGTGGTAAGCTTAGGATGCGCCCGTGCATTAAGGGGACAGACATTTTATAAAGGGTGAAGAGAGAGTTTCCTGAAGCTCTCTGGTAGTTGGGCAGCTGAAATCTGCTGTCCCTAGGAGGACTATTCTCAGTGTATAGTCTCCTTTGAGAGTGGTCTGGGTAGGCCAGACTCTAGGATTGGGTCCTTGTCCTGTGTCACTCAGCATGAAGGCAACACTCTCAGGGAAATCTTCCATGGACTTTGCTCCTGACCTATCCATCCCTTCTTCTCCCACGTAGCTCTTCACCCAAATCTTTGGGGTCGGTGTGAAGACTGCTAACCGGTGGTACCAGGAAGGATTGCGAACGCTGGATGAGCTCAGAGAACAGCCCCAGAGACTGACCCAGCAGCAGAAAGCAGGTAAACTTCCCAGAGATGCCTGGACCTGAGAGCTCTACACAATGAAGCCTTTAGCCCGCTGTGGAACATGCTGCCTCCCTGAGTGCCGGGGAGCAGCTGGTGCAGAGGGATCCTGGCTCCCTGTGGTTTTCTCCCTGTAGCTAGGGTCTATCATGGCCCTCTCTCAGTGATTGTTGTCATAGCATTGCCATGGCATCTGGGCTTCATTTTCCTCCTGTTTGATTTCCATTGTGCTGGGGATAGTCTTGGTCTGGGCCTACATGTCCAATGTGCTGTCCGGTGTATAGTTTTGTGGTTCAGGTGCCTCCATGAGCAGAAATAACATAAACCTTGGATTTGTTATGCCTAGTTTGAGGTCTCTCCTCTATTTGCTAGGTATGTAACCATGGCTTCAAGACTAACCTGAGTCTTGGTTACCTTCTGTGGGAAACACAGATAAAATAATAAGTGCCTTTGGAAGTCAGTAGGTGATGAGCAGACTCTTGGTCTATGTAGCCTGCCTGGTCATTCTAAGTGGTCTTGGCTGGAGACTTGCTGAAGGGCGCCATGGCCTGCCAGTGGCCTCTCCAGGGTACTGCCTGCTTCAGTTTCTCTTCCCAGGGCAGGGTAGACAGGATAGCCAGCAGTGTTTACTAAGGGCTTGCTGTGTGTTAGGCATTGCCATTCCTCATGCTTAAACCTCCCTAACTGAGCATGGAGGGCACAGTGGTGCCCTTTGACAGGCAAGAAGACAGAATAGGCCAAAGGAGAGATGGCTAGTAGCAGACCCATCTTCATCACATCTTTTACCACCTTTTGGTTCCCTTTGATTAATGGAGAATTTAAAACTTTAAAGGGGCTGGCTTCATCTTGCCTGTGCTAGCTTCATTGTCCCATGTAACTCTGAAAGATTTGTTTGTTTTATTGTGGTGTTGGGGATTGAACCTTGGACCTTATAAGGCATATGTTAAACTCTCTGCCCCAGCTCTCTGGTATGTAGCCCTGGCTGACCTGAAACTCTATATATAGACCTCGCCTGTCTCAAACTCACTGGAGTTTTACAAGATACTATGTTTGTCGGGGAGTTAGGTAAAGGATACAAGGGAACTTGTTTATTTCAATTGCATGTGAATCTAGTTATCCCAAAATAATAATTTAAGTTTAAAAGGAGAAGTGAATCATGTATAGTATCTCACTCTGCTCTGGCCCTGATTGGGGATGTCCTTCTGTATTGGTTGGTGAATAAATGCTGATTGGCCAGTAGCCAGGCAGGAAGTATAGGGGGGGCTACCAGACGAGGAATGCTGGAAGGAGGGAGGCAAGAGAAGCCGCCAGAAAGATGCCATGTAGCCGCTGAAGGAGTAACAGGTCTGGGCATTCGTCAGTAAGCCAACACCACATGGAATACTTAGATTAATAGAAATGGGTTAATAAATAAGAGAGTGCTATCCAGTAAAAACCCTAAGCCATCGGCCAAACAGTTTATAATTAATATAAGCCTCTGTGCGTTTATTTGGGGCTAAACAGCTGTGGGACTGGGTAG